GCCCCCTTTATGTGTAGTTTTCGCTAGTCGGTTGTATATCCCTTGTAGTGTGAACGACAATGTGCAATAGCATGGGATGCATTGACGTACGAACTGGTACAGTGTGGCAGTTTCATTTAATGAACATTTGCTTGAGTTGGCCTTGTTGCAATTAAATGTGATCTTATTGACATTTTAAAATAAGGAGAGACTGAATCATTTGTGTGGCATTTGGGATGGAAATGAGTGAATGAGTGATAGATCAATGCAGCAGGATGCTGAAATATGTTACAGAACATGGTGTCACATCACAGAAAACAGTAAATCATCTTATTCACAGACAAATTTGTTGCCCTTGATATAGGTGAATATTTGTGGTGTTCATGGCATTGAATTCAGAGGTGCCATCTAGTGTAGCCAGTCTTCTGATCAGTCAGTGGTCATAGTGCCCAGCATTTTTCAGCCATTTATGTCCATCTTCAGGAGTGTAGAGATGATTGTAAAGTGCAACTGTACATTACTTGTTAAAGAACAAGATAGCTGTGAAGAGTAACAAACTTTTACTAAAGTTGAGTCATTAAAATTGTCTTGCATTTTTTGGTTGTAAAGGGTCATCTTCAGAGGGTTGTGTAATAAAAGGAGATTGCTTGTCTTAAAAATTACAGTATACAGTAAGTTGTTGCTTAAAGTTTTTGTTATCATGTTGATACTGTTTTCATACTTAGGCACTACATAGCATCATGTTAGCTTGTTAGTATGTCATTCATCCCACAGTTTAAGAAAACGGTCGAAGGGGAGGTTTACTCATCCAAACACATCTTCAGTTTTGATGAGGCACAATAGATCACTGTGGTCACGGTGCAAGGGCCAAGAAGGCCCACCCCTTATACATTCATTGATGAGACCAGACTGTCGGCCACCACTAGCTTTCTTCATATCATAATAAATGTTAAATAAAAATTGCACATATTTATAGCCAAGAATATATGAAAAGAAAGCTGAGGAACATAACCTACTTCTTGTGATAAAAATGGATCCGCTTAATGTCTTTACAAGAACATACCTATGATGATAAGTGAGGACTTAATGTGTACATTTTGTCTGATTGCATGAAGATGCTCAGGATTGGTTGTAACTGCTGTTTCTTCAGGAATGTGTTAGGTTTTTTTTATACTGGGTGTTTCACGACTTTAGGACATAACTGCAGGAGGTGATTTCCTAGGTCTTTGTGATCAAAAAAGTTCATGTAAACATTTTGGACGGTTACAGAGTTATGACCGTTTTAAACTCAGAATATAAGGTGACAATTACCAACAATAAACGGAACAAAATAATAAACCAGCATAATACAAGATACATTTAAAGTATGAATGTAAAGTTAACTTCGTGAAATTGCCTTTAATTTGAATTGATTGGTGCTTAAAGCTGATTTTCGAAAATGCCACCACTGGCCGCAACACAGGCTGCCGCTCGGTTGTGAACTGCGCAGGTAGCACATAGCAGCTTTAACTGGCTGTTTCTTATGTGGTCAGCGGTGTCCAGAATGCGACCAAGCAAAGCATCTCGCGTTGCCACCTTCACATTGTAAACCAGTTCTTTCTTTCATGCCCACACACAATAATCCAGTGGGCTTATTAAGTCTGGAGACCTGGCTGGCAATTCTTCACGTACTCGTGTGTGGACTGTGGTGTACCATATGAACAATGCCTTCTTCATTGACGCCTTCATTAACACCACACTCGGCTTCAATACGAACGCTGGGAAGTCTGCCGGTATCTCGCAGTGCCTGGTAGACTCCAGTAAACACTCTCCAGTTTGGTATTCTACGATTTGGAAACCGTTGCTGATATTCAGCTATGGCAAGAACTGAGTTACCATCACAAAACCCGTACACATAAATCATATCTGCATACTCCTCAAATGAAAATGTAAATGGCATTGTGAACACAACAGACGCACCGAGATGAGAACTGTTCTGAACACTGGTAGCCGCCACACTAGCCATGGCCTTACATACAACCCACCATGCCTTAGGTACCTCTCAAGTGTGGAGATAACGAGAACGCTCTGTCTTTAGCTGGCTAAAAATAGCGACCTGCCAGATAGACGCGGTTCACATGAGGGCGTGTACAGGAATGAAAAAAAAAACGGTCATAACTCTGTAACCGTCAAAAATTGGACACATGTTTATATGAACTTTTTTGACCACAAAGACCTAGGAAATCACCTCCTGCAGTTATGCCCTAAAGTCGTGAAACACCCTGTATGTGCATCGTATGAAGTGTGGAGTGTAATTTTTAAGACTCGATGTAATTTTATTTGTACGTAGAAGCAATCGCCTTTATTAACCAAGCCCCAGAATATTGTCCCATGGGACCAATAATGTAAGGCAATTTTCTGAACTTAAATTTAGTAAAAGTTTGTTGTACCTGAAGGTTGAGATGTCTCATGGTAGAATAATATTATGTATTTGTTTTACATAAATTATTTGAAGCCTGTTCACAAAGCTATGCTCTTAAAGTCAGCATAGTACAGGTGATGGTGATGAAGCGAGAAAGCTTTATGTTTGACATTTTTGTGCCATTTCCTAACTTATCTTCCGTAATGTCATTAGGCCTTTCTGTTTTGGTGGTGCTGAGCTGACTCTTAGGCCACAGGTGTCTTGAAACTTGTTGGGCATTGTGATCATTTGTTTGTTAAATGTGTAGGTGCCATAAATTGTACCTCTGAATTCAGTATCATCAGTGCATCACTCATGTTCATCTCTGTCAACCTGAGTACAAGGGTGTTTGTTTCTGATTAATGGTGATATGAAGTTGAGGTTTCTGCTTGCTTGCAACTTAGGAATGACTGTGAAGGTGCTTGCATAGATGGTGGTGGTTAGAGGGATGGTGATGGTGGTTTCTTTAAATTAGTAATGGGCTGACATTTTGGCAGAACAAAAGGCATATGTTGTTAGTACAATAGCAGTTATGTCATCAGAGTGTTTCATTCTTCCGTCAGGACAATGAAATTGGTATCAAAATACACATTACATTTTAGATAGCACTTGTTTAATGGTTCTGAAGTAATTATTGTCCATTGTAGTTGCTGAGTTGTATTGAATATGTGCTGCATCTTTATACATGTGTGTAAAGTTAACCCTTTGATGACATTGCCCAGGATGTCCTGGGCTATTGCAGGCCTTATCACATCACTGCGCCCAAGATATCTTGACATGTAACTGACATAATTTTTTCAGTTTTTTTCTGAGATTTGTATAATCAGTGGCAAGTTGTGTGCATTCTGCTGCTTTTTATAAAGGCATGGAAGTAATTGTGTGTTTCTTCCTGTGATGATGGTCTGTGAACTGAGAAATGCTGTGCAGTCAAAGCGTTAAAAAATTTATGTTGGACATACTTCAGTACCATTGAGGTCCTTGGTCCTTACCATGTGTTGATTGTCATTTTTGCCCCCATAATTGTGATTGTCAGTACTAAACACAGACTTGCATCTTCTCATAAATCTCCCTTCACTGTATTGTTAATTACCTGTCCTGGTGTATTTACTTGTACATTCCTGTAGAAGCATTTTCAAACATAATTTTGATGGTGAAATTTGGAAAACTTAACGTATGAGATTTGAGGTTCTCACACTGATGAATGTTAAGATTGTGGCCTTCTGGATATGGCACTGTTTGGTTAAAAAAAAAAAGAACCAGTGTTTTGCAGAATCTGCTGTATCCTACAGTGAAAATGGTGCTAACAGATCCCTCTGAAACATTGCTGTAACTGATGCAAAGTGCAATGGCACTTGTACCCATGCATGTTGTTGTGCTGGAGGAAAGTTGGATAGGCATAATGTTTTGAAAGTGATTGGTGGGATTTGGCCATCAACACAACAGTAAAAACAAACCAGTGTAACTGCTCCCATTGTAACCAGGAACAGATATGACATAAATGTTAGCACAGAAGGAATACACAATACACAGTAAGGAAAAAAAGAAAAAAAGAAAATCACAGTGAAATACCCAAAAAGATGAGTGAGAACAGACTAAAAGCTAATAACATTATCGTGAATAGTTTCTATAACATCTAGTACAACAGTGAACCCAGGTCGAAAGACAACTTACAATGCAGGACAAAAACACAGAAATAACATAGAATTTTGCATTCAGTGATGAGGGAATTTTAAATAATTTAAATTTAATTCTAAATTTTGAAAAAATTTAAAATTATAAAGATTCTTGCAACTTTGTGACGGTTGCTTGTATAATATGATTTTGGTGAGTAGCAGTAATTTTTTTCTCTATGGTTCTTTTGGACCTTGGTCGCTTTTTTTTTTTTTTTGGTCCTTAATTAGTGAGTAGGATTCCTTGGACAAGGGGATCAGCCCATTACAATGCCACTATCTACACATGACAGCACAAACACATTAAATGCACACAGACATCCATGCCTCGAGTGGGATTCGAACCCATGATCCCAGTGTTCAAGTGGGTGGAGACGATTCATGCCTTAAACTGCGCTGGCTCCGTGATTGGCAAGTGGCACTAATATTGATCCATATTAGGGCAGTTCAATAACAAGAGGCATATTTGATGGTACTGCCTGAATAGGTCCCAAATGCAGACCAAAACATGTGGCAACTACCAAATGAAACCACTGTGAGCAGTTCAGTTGGTTTATTTTCATTGCTGTGTTGACAGCCAAGTACCTTCGATGATACAGAACAGGATGCAAACAATGAAGGTTATGTAAGTGACTGCTCTCGTGCTTTCCAAATCAGTTTCTTACTAGAAGTTGTTGAGCTGATGGGTCAGTAGACCACTGTGTAAGTGCTATTGTGTTTTACATCAGATTAACCACTCTACCACTCCAGGGACATATACCAGAAGGCCTTAATCTGCAGCGTACATAGAATTTAAGATTTTATGGGGGAGTAATTTTTCAGCAGGTCTTTGTCTAGGATTGGACGGTCACCCTATTCCCCATCAGCCTCCTGGCTGCTCTAGTAACGTAGGTTATTTATTGTATCGACAGCTCCATGGGAGTAGGAGATGGGCTACCAGTGCGCTCAGCCAAAGGCCATATCAAGTCTGCGTCCATCTCTACAGCGGGAAGAGCTGAGCACCCAGCCCTAGAAACCCCTATAGACCCTCTAAGACAAAGGTAGTATGCAGTGTAAACTGATTGGCCACATCTCCAACATTCAAATGTGATGATGCACAGAAAAGTAGAAAACAACGTATAGAAGTTTTTTTTAATTATTTGTTGTCAACGTGACATTTCCAGCTTTTACCCTCCAGGTAGTTCTTTTTAATGACATATGGAGCTTGTTCAAATGAAACTCATTTTGGGATTGCTCTTGATGGAGTAGAAGTCATTGTTCCCCATGCACATTGAAGGGAGGCATCCCATTGGCACACCAGCTGATGAATTCTCTCTATGCAAAGAACTCCCTTGACTGCTGGACCAGCTGCACCGCCACAACCATGACACCCCCATACAGCCCAAGTCTACATCGTGTTAGCACTTTCTTGAGGGATCCGAACACACAGGACTGGGCTGTATGCACTCCTAGTGTGTGGAGCGCACCTTGTCATGGGCAGTGTGGACTAAAGGGAAATGTGCATTGCCGTGCAAGACAGTGGCACCCCTTGTCAGTGTTACTGGATGCTCTTCCTCTAGATGGCAGTACAGAGGTCTAGGAAAGGCGCTTTTTAATACAGCTGTATGCCTCGGTGATGATATCTTGACTTCAATGCTAGCAGCAGCAACCCGTTCAGACAGATCTAACACCTGCATTTAGCAATTAACACTTGCACGTTTTCTGTGGCATGCCTGTTCTGTTGCGCAGCTTGCAGTCTGCTACTGGTGTGTCACACCCACATGATGATCTGTGACTGGCCATATTCTATAGCAGTGCTGTGAATGGGTTTTATTTGAACAACTTCCATGGTATGTGCTCTGCACTTTTGTACCCAGATGAACTGTCTTTGCATCATTCCATATTCAGTGAATACAAAACTGCTGTAGAAAAGGATCAATGTAGTCATTGCACACTGTGTCGTATACTTCCATTCGTCAGTGCTAGTGTAGTTGCATACACTGCTAGCCCATAGAAATGAAAAGGTTAATGGATTGACATTGTTAATTACAGATACTTCTTAGTTCTTTCACAGCCGTTTCATTAGCTGCATTGATTCTTTTTATTTGCAAAGTGTCAGTTCTTGTGAAGGTTCTTTTTAGACTTCACTTCCCGGAGGGGTTACTGTTATTTGTTCTTATTTCCATGTGCAAGTAAGTGAAGAACGGTTGCATGTATAACTGATGGCATTTTCCCTGCCCTCCCTCCTTGCATGTTGACCAGCGTGCGCCAGAGGAGGAACAGTGAATGGCTGCTTGGCCATGTCTGAGCTGTGTCTGTTGTTGCATGTTCTTGTTTTCTGCTGACAAGTACTCAAGCCTAATGATTCTCTAACGGTTTATGATGACAGCTAACTTATGAATACTGTGTCACACACCATCCATTGTCTGTTGTACATTTAATATAGAGCACAGTACAGTTGTACTTTTTAAACCAGTTGTAAAGGGTTTTGATGATGGTATGTTACTTGCTTTGTGGACTTGCCTTTCATCTGATATTGTTAAAACACAGCTTTTCAGGAGTTGTATCTACTTTTGCCGTCATGTCATGAGTGACAGAGTAAATTGACCAGAGTAAGCAGGACTCCCTTACCTGAGGACATAAGCATGTCCCAGCTCCAGATATGTTATGCTCTTTGTTTTGTAGCATTTCACAGTGGACAAAGTTTAGAAGACAAGTGAGGGTGCGGTTACCTCTTATACATGCTTCCATTATCCTCATTTACGCTTCCCTGCTTTTTTTTAGCTTGTGAGGAGTGTCAGTTACCTATCTGCAGCCATAGTAGAAGCTGCCACGTGTGTCCAGTGAGATGCATGTGCAGTTTCCCTGGCTGGCCCCACCATTGTGATTCAGTTATGTTGTTTCCTACCCCTGCTCCTCTGTCTTCAGCATTCATTCAGTGTGTTCTCCATTTGACATGTTTTTGATGTAGATGGCGATTTTCAGGAGTGCAGCTTCCAAGCATAATGAGTCCCCCACAGCGCTGAACGGTACAGTATGATAAACCCCAGACCGTGGACAGTGTCTGACATAATGTTTGTATAATACCCAGATGTAGCCAAAGCTTGGAAACTAATAATTCATATACCACTTTAAAGTTTCTGTTCAGTAAACTTTTTAAAATTTCATTGAATGTTTTCATTTCTGATTTTGAACCTGTTTTAGGGGTGATGGCACCACCTAGAAGAGGGTTAATTTAAAACATTTCATTTTGGGAAATTATGGAATGATACAGTACCCGTTTATATGGACATGTACTGTAAGTATTGACAAGGACCATGGGTTTCTCAAACTGTCAGTTGTATACTCCCAGACCACTCCAAGTTGTAGTAAGTCAGTGACATTTAATAAAGTTGCAATCAGAAATTATAGCTCCAGATGCTTGAAATGTTTGGCAATCTTTTTATGACTGCTGGAACATTTTACAGCTTTCTGTGGGTGTGGAGGGACTGAAAAGTTTTTTAGGTTCCTGCTGTCACCATGCAACCTGATTGGGACCTGCAACAGTGCGCAGAACGGCACTTCTTGCAAACAGAGTGGAAGAGTTATGTAAATTAGTGTATTATTTGAGGAGGAGGAGGTGGTATGACAGAGTTTGAGATCCTGTGAGGTATTTACTTTGCCTGTATGGTGGAGAGAGTAAGGTTTCTGGAAATATCATCTGCTGGTACTGTCATCCGAAAACAGGATTGATGTTGATTGTACCATCATGGAAACCTGAAATCAGCTATTGCATTTTCATGTGGTCATTCATATGTACCATGTTGCTGACAGTATTGAAGGTATTGAAGTGACATGCTGGCTGTACCGATTCCTCTTGAATGGTTCTGAATCTCTTCTGAACATCTTGTGAATATGAAGACCACTGCCTCCTCGGTTGTGATACGGAGTTTTGTAGAAGTTTACCCACATTTCCTTCAGGGCTGAAGAGTGAGCCAAGCAAGCAACCAGCAGCAGAATAACTATGTTTGCTTCTTCCTTGCACAGCTTATCTTTGATTCTGAACATATAGGCTGCATATTTCCCTGAAATATCAGTAAACTTGCACTGGACTGCAGAGTGTCACATCACAGGCACCACCATGAGAAGCTCACTCACAGCATTTGTAAATGTGTTTGTATGTTATAAGCAATATTCTGTGGGAAGAGTGAATAGCGTTTAATGCATGTGGTAGGCAGGTTCCCACAGGGGTTGAGATTCAGATTAGGGTGTTCTGGGATGCATGATGCTGTGTAGTTTGGTAGATAGGCACCAGCTTTTCAGAAGCCTCCTGCCTAGATGAAGGAGCTGGGATAGCATAGTCAGTATAGGGACAGGCTACTGGCTGGACGGCTTAGGGATCAAAGTTTGAGTCCTGGTGTGGTCAAGAATTTTCTCTTCTCCACATCGTCCAGACCGTTCCTGGGGTCCACCTAACTTCCTATCCAGTGGGTACCATTGGCACTTTCCCTGGGGGTAAAACAGCTAAGTAGTGAAGCTGACCACTCGCCTCCATCTAGTGCCAAGGTCAAGAAAATGTGGATCTGCGGATCTGCACATCCACTCCCCTGTATACCTTCATGGCCTAGTGCTTAATTAGTTAAGCACGGAGGGAACTTCACCTTTTACCTTACCTGCCTAGATGATGTGTTACATGCATCACTTCTTGGGTTCAGTACTGCTCTTTCAAATGTGTAGTGTTGAAGTATGTTTGAAAATCACTTGTTACGAAGAGATCAGTAGTTGGGATCTCTCAAATGTGGCACTGCATTAAGCAAGTATGAGTTCATTTTGCTTTTGCCATTTTCTGCCTTGGATGCTAGATGTTTATGTTCACTGTTGTTCATTTGTCCAGCAATCATAGTACAAATTGCATACATCAACGTTAACAGTGCCTTCCTGTGTATTTCCTTTGTTGTTTACCCCCAAATTAAAGATCTGAGGTAGCACAAATTTAGTGACTAGCTATGGGCTGGATGGCAGGGGGTTGGAATTTGAATCCTGATAGGGGCAAGATTTCTCTCCTATCCTTGTCATCCAGACCAGTTCTCTGGCCTACCCAGCCTCTTATCCAGTGGGTACCAGTAGCTCTTTCTATGGGGTAAAGCAGTCAGGGCATGAAGCTGACCACTCACCTCCACTTCCCCATATGCCTCTGTGTCATAATGATTAAGAAGTTAACCACAAGGGACAGCTTAACCTTAGTTACCCAAAAGTATGTTTTATTCAGTTATTTTGATACCATGCTCTATTAGCCAAGTGCCGTTCAGAAAATTCTGGTCCCAGTCTAGTCTGAAGGGTTTGACCTGTACATTTGAATGAAAGCTCTTTCCTTTTCCATACATAGCCTTAAAGACCAAGGCATTGTCACAAAACAAAAGCTTCGTTGGATTCTTTGAAAAGCATAATAGGATTTTTTTTCAGGTAAAGATGACAAGCAATTTAACAAATTTTTATTAGCTGTGTTAGCATTGATACATAATTATCAGTTCAGTCCTGAATATCCTGATTATAAGAAATTTTGACCTTCATTCCAGATGTTCCATTTCATAGATTATTTTGAATTTTGGTCCTAATTTATAACTTAAAAGTTGATAAGGCATAAATTGCCATGCATTGATCAGAGTTTGACTGAGTTAATTGAAGGAGGCAGTTAAAACATGTTCTGAAATCCACAGATTTATTCATTATGTTTGGAAGAATTGCTTGAACAGTGGATGGAGTCTGTTATTGTTCCTGCTTATAAGATGGGTGGTAAAACTGACAAGTAATTACTGAGGGATATCACTTTTGTCATCTCCATACAAAACTTTATCCATTATTCTTCCTTTGGGGTTAATTCTGTGGTTGGGAAAAATTAGTGGAGGTTATTAGTATGAAATTGTATGTGATAGATAAACTGCTGATCTGACATTCTACATTTGTCAGATGCCAGAGGAAGGACAAAATTGCAGCCAGAGAGTATATCACTTTATAGACTCTCAGAAAGTGTACGGCATTCTTACAAGACTTGGTATACCCACAGAATTAATTTGGTTACTTA